GGAAGGACAGTATACTGAAGAGATGAGAGTCCTAGAATGTGTTTAAGACACTAGAAGACAGAAGAATATGGACAAAGAGCCTCTGGGCAAAGTGCCTACTAGTTGAACTGGTCATTTGCTTTTAAGGTGGCCTTGTAATGGAGTGGCCCTGCTCACTAGCAATGCCACCCAGTGAGCATACAGGAAGCTGGTTGAGCAATTCAGTGTGCCTTCCTCTTGGGAAAATGCCAAGAAAGGAGAAGAGACAGCACCAGGGCCCACACAGCCCTAGAGATGTTGATCTCCCTGGATGCCTATAGCTAAGGAGGATTCCATTTGGATTCAGCAAACAAGTTTTTGTCAAATATGGTTCCTGGGTTGGTGACGTAGTCTCAGGACATGGAGGAAAGTACATGGAAAAAAATATGAATTAATGCCTCCAATCTGTGGGTTGTACAAATAGCAGTCTATAATTTCTGCTCTGTAGTTTCCCTTCTTGTATTTTCTGTTGCCTGAACCAGCAGATACTGACCTAGAAGTTCATCCATCCCCAACTTCAAGGTCTCATGATTTGGGGCACTATTTCCCACTATCCCTCTGCCCACTATTTCCCAGGATGTCTCCACAGGCAGAGCAAATTTCCTAAGGCAGAGACTTCCATTTTTCTACTCACACAGCATCCTTTAAATAGGGAGTGTAGGAAGAGTCTTCAGAGCCTACCTGGGACCAAAATCTGCATTTTACAGATGAGAAGGCTGAGGCTCAGGGGAGCTGGCTGGCCTGTTGACCAACTCCACATCATCTGTCTCTGAGGTCAATGCTACATCCACTGTACCACACTGCCTCAATCACAAGTTTCTTCAAACAACAGCTATGCACACCAGTCTTTGCAAATTATGTGATTACATGCGTGTATAAATATTAAACATTGTAATAAATACTTTCTTAGAGCACAGGGCTGTCTTCATGACACCTAGTTGAGTTGAAAAAAGGAAGTTCTGGAACAATATGTCTGGCATAATCTCATTACTGCTCTTCCCACCCCAACAAAAATAGCAGCTTCTGTGTGACTGTGTCTGGATGTGATTGTGTCCGTGAGGATCCACGTGCGTGTTCTTGTACACAGAGAAAGGGTCCAGGGTTTGCTTACCAAATAGCAGTGGATTTTCCTTGTGGGAGGGAAACTTCCATTCTTTTGTTTATTTGGAATTGCTACATGTTTTACAATGAGCATGCTTTGCTTTTGCAATTTAAAAACAATGAGTAAGAAATAATCATGGCTAACATGAGCTTGGAATACACGCCAGGCACTCTGATAGGTCCCACATGTAGCATCTCATTTCATTCTCCCTGTGGCTCTATGACATGGGACTATATTACACTCCAGATTCGGACACTGAGGCTTAAAGAGCCTACAAGGTAGTAAGTGGCAGAGCCAGGATCTGAACACCAGAATAACTGACACAAAAGCAACGCTCAGATTACCCGGAAAAGGTCACTGTTTTTCACCTACACTCAACAGAGAAAAGAACGTGTGCCTCTCACAGGATGTCATCCCGTTGCTTCAAAGCAGAGACAAGGCTGCCGGCTGCCGTGCTACCCTAAGACACCTCAGTGAGTCTGCTGCCTGGGCTGAAGCTCCCTTTGCTGTGCTCGCCCCTCCTCCCTTGGCCCATACCCCATGCCTTTCCATCCTCACCATTCTTGGCGATTTCTCCATGTGTGAATTCCATTAAAGGCTTGCTCACTGCTATTTTGGGCCATGCATTAACACGTGGGCTTTGATTTGATAGGAGAAGGCCAGACATGGGAGGATGATGAAAAAGAGATTTAAAATGTCCTCTCCCTTCCCTCAGAGTCCCAGAGCCCTTGCTCGCCGCTCCTGGGAGACCTGAGAATCCAGTGTATGGGGAAATGTACAGAGGGAGACTGGAAACCTTCAGAGTCTATTAGGGCCTTAAACATGGCTGTTCCCTCTCTTCAGAGCTGTCGTCTCTCAGTTGTCCATATGGTTCACTCCCTCACCTCCTTCAGGTCTTGACTCAAGTTATCAGTTCACCAGCAAGGCCTTCCCTGCCGGCCATTCAGAAACAACGGCTCCCGTTCTACCTCCACACTCCCCCCGCCCCACTCCCTATGTTCCTTTGTCTCCTGCACAGCATCAGTCACCTGGCAGACAGTACATTCACTTGTCTTCTTGCTGTTTCCCACTAGAAGTTCCATAAACGCTCCGCTGCTTTATTCACGGCCTTATCCCCAGTACCTGCACTGTTGCCTAAAATGTCACAGACGCACAGTAGATGAAAAACAATGAACAAGTTGATCAAGAAGGTTAAGAAGCAGAGGCTGAGAAATGGCTTGGCCCAGGGCCTCATTTCCCCCAAATATCATGAGATTACAGAAACTGCAACGCAGTGATTTGAAAAATCGGCCCACTCCAAAGCTGTTTTGAATCCGGACTCGCACACACCATGAATGAGAAGGCTTTGGGAAATAAACACACTAGGAAGTCGTGTGCAGTTGGAGTTCCGCTCACTAACACATGTTCAAAACAAAAAGCCCAGTTTGGATGAAAATAGCAGGAAGCCGTCCCCCAGGGACACCTGGTAAGGTCATATTGCTTGGCTCTGCTGCTTCCATTTTTACCAACTCTCCTGCCTTCTGCCAACTCAAGGAGGCCAGGAACCACATCCAGCCCCATGCTGCTCAATGGGAAATGAGAGCTGCTCTCGGAAAAGCAGATGCTAGAGCCACACCACGAGCTCTCCTCGGGAGCCTCAGTGTGGAACAATAAAAATCCCAACTGTGGCTGGCCACTCACCATGTGCTCTGCAAGCACTTCCTGCACCTCACCTCATTTATCCTCACAACCATCCCACGGGGCTGGCCTCATTACCCTCATTTTACAGACAAGGACACTGAAGTTCCAGAAGGTTTAGCCATTTGCTCTGGGTCACATTCTGTAACTCTAGACTCACACCAAGAATACATATGATCCTAGTCTCAGCTCTTTCATTTGCTTGCTGGGTAACCTCAGACAAATGCCTATCCCTCACTGAATCAAAATTTCTGCATCCATAATTTCAGTGTTTTCTAAGATCATTCCATTCAGTGTTTTTTAAGGTACCTTCCTACTTTAACTTCCTATGGTTTCTATCCAATGTTTCAAAACAGGAGTGAAGGATAGAAACTTGAATCCTGGGACTCCTGCTGGGCCAGCCAACTCCTAAAGATTTTCCCACAACACCAACACTGTCACTAGGGCTGACCAGAGGAAGTCGAAGGGCCACAGGCTCTCCTGGGGGCAGAACAGGAGAGATCAGACGCAGGCAACACTTAGACTAGAGCTAATGGGTTGGGTCCATGAGAAACAAAGGCAGGCCCCCGAGAGACACAGTCAAGAACAGACCCTCTTGGCCGGGCACGGTGGCTCATGCCTGTAATCCCAGCACTTTGGGAGGCCGAGGCAGGTGGATCATGAGGTCAGGAGATCGAGACCATCCTGGCCAACATGGTGAAACCCCATATCAACTAAAAATACAAAAATTAGCCAGGCGTGGTGGTATGTGCCTGTAATCCCAGCTACTGAGGAGGCTGAGGCAGGAGAATCGCTTAAACCCGGCAGGCAGAAGTTGCAGTGAGCCGAGGTTGCGCCACTGCACTCCAGCCTGTGTGATGGAGAGAGACTCTGTCTCAAAATAAGAACAGACAAAAACAAAAACAGGCCCTCTAAGGGCCTTTTCTTGTAGACCAAAGGAGACAATGAAAGGAAAAATCCAGGGCAGGCAGAGGCTGCAGTGTCTGGGGACCAAGCTGGCCAGGTCTGTTCCAGGGACCCAGGAGAGAAGAAACACAGCCTAAGCTGGCTTTACTCTCAAGAGGAGGGAAACAAAAATGACTGTGATCCCCATCGTTCTGGCTTCCCGAGGCCACCATGTCCTGGAGGCAGAGGAAGGATGTGGACGAAGCCCCACCACTGCACAACTGTGAGCTGTATTTTAACCACACTCAGGCCACTCATCCTCCTTTGCAAGTGCCCAAAAAGCCCAAATTTGGAATAAATTATATTCTCCCTTTCCACTCAAGCCTAAAAGCCATTCCCATCCTTTTGTATACAGGAAGGTCCTTCATCTTTTTCTTGGCAGTGATGTATTTGATTACTCATCGGCTTCCATGGGGTTCTGGAGGCTGCCAAGGGGAGACAGGCAGCTCTCCAAGCCATGCAGCCTTATCTGCGACATCTATGAGGCAGAACGAAAAATGGGACAGTCGGTGGGGAAATACCAGTGGTTTTCAGAGTCTTTCAGCCAAGTAAGGAGAAGTCTTCACAGCTAAGTAGATGGGGAACGGCCAAAGAATGGGCCACAGACATAGCCATGCATTGTGTCCATTCACTTCCTCCATCACATGAATCCAGATATGACGGCGTCTGATAGCAAATCAATGTGGAAGTGCCTCTGAGCCAGGCCACCACCTGAGATGAATGAGGTTAGGAAGATGAAGAGCTGGGCCAATGAAGCCAGGAGACTGCTGACGATGCCCTACTGGCGAAATCTCAAATGCGGCTGACCCAGAACACATGGAACAATCTGAGTCTGAGGCGCCAAACCCCAGCACACCCTGTTTTGCTCGCTCCTCTCTGCTGTTTTCCTCTAATCTCCTTCATTTCCTGCCACGCACTGGGCTGGTTCTAGTAAGGCAGCTGCCAAAGACCTCCGGTCCATCCACTCCCGTAATCTCACACGCACACAGACCTCTGTGTGCCCGCAGTGAACTCCAGGGGCCTCCAAAATACTGCCTAAGGAAATTTTAGCAATACATTTAACAGTCCAGCAACCTCACATCAAGTCAAGAGGCTGTGGAAAGGCTCTGACTTTGCAAGATGCTGCCTCAAAGGAAGCAAGGACTGAGAGCTCGGGGTCAACTCCATTAAGTGCTTCCTTCCAGAACAGCGACACCTGCGTCCGGCATTGACACGGAAGTTATTTGTTTCATTTTAGACAAGGGAGGAGTCCACTTACTCATTCTTCTCCAGGTCCAGGATCAGTTCTCGCCCCTCAGCCATTACCCTGAGCTCAGCTTTGAGTGGATGCTAAAAGCAACAACAAAACAAGGTCAGTTCCTAAAAGCCAGCACCAAGGCGCCCAGGGTTGGGCACAGGCTCTAGCGCAGCGCTCCGACATTGATCCACAGAAGTGAATGAGCAAAGGTCAATAGCATTTCCAGCCCACATGTAAAACGACCTCAATCCCAGAATCACCCAAATCCTTCCCCCATCTGCTTTCTCCCGAAAGGCATAGGAAAGAAACTCCAGGCTGCAATGTGGTGTAAGTGTACGTTATGTGGTGTGGTGAAGGGAAACACTGGAAAACATAGTCTCCAGCAGTAAATGTCCTGCAGAGTCAGCTCTGGATTCAAGCGCCAGCTCTGAAACCTGCAGTTGTGTGAAGTTGGACATGTTGCTGAGCCTCCCCACATCTGTTTCTTCATGTATGATACAGAGATAGTAACAGTCAACTTGATGGGGATCTTGGAAGGATTGAGTGAGATACTGAGCATAAATAATGTATCACAGTGCCTGGCACACGGCAAGCCTTGATATGTGTTGCCTATTATCTTGTAAAATACTTGGGGATCCTCTTCATAGTGGGTTCTTATTTTATTTTGTTCGGCCCTCAGTTTAGAAAACCCCAATCATCTCAGAGGAAGCAACTCAGAGATCCTCAGAGTAAGGTTTCATAGGCCAAAAAGTAGATATTTTACACATAAGCGTTTGCTAGTGGCCACAGGTGCTACACATCCAGAGTGAATCACTTAAGATATACCAGTGGTTAAAACGCACAAAAAATATGTTCAACATTACTAATAAACCACCTCCTCACCTCCAGAAAAATAAAACTAAAAATAATAAGGTACCTTGAAAAAAATCAAAGTGCCGGAGTTATCTAAAACTAAATCACAATGCACAATGCCCACCGTAAAGTGGGCACTTGCAATCCCTACTGCTGAGAATTTAAACTGACAACAACTCTCTGAAAGATAATGACAGTACATACCAAGAGTTTAAAACGGTTTCGACTCAGCAGGGCACAGTGGCTCATGCCTATAATCCCAGCACTTTGGGAAGCCTAGGCAGGTGGATCATCTGAGGTCAGGAGTTCGAGACCAGCCTGGCAAACAGGGTGAAACCCCGTCTCTACTAAAAACACAAAAATTAGCTGGGAGTGGTGGTGCAAGCCTGTAGTCCTAGGCACTTGGGAGGCTGAAGCAGAAGAATCGCTTGAACCGGGAGGTGGAGGTTGCAGTGAGCCGTGATGACACTACTGCACTCCAGTGTGGGTGACAGAGCAAGACTCCGTCTCAAAAAAACAAAAAACAAAAAAAAGGAATGAATAATGAAATGTAAGCTAACTGTCCTAAATATAACCTGTTAGAGAACACTTAAATAAATGATGACCCATTCATATGACAGAACACTGGATGATCATCAAAAGCAGCAACGTTAAGTAGTTGTTGAATTATTGAGAAAATGTATACAATAATCATTAGTCTTAAAGCCTCAAAATATAACACTGAGTATTTTATTCAAATACACTTTGCAAAGGGAAAAATGTAGAGAGAAGTAAGCCTAAAGGTTACCATAGTTACTCTCGGCAATGGAATCATGAGTTAATTTTTTTTTTAGCTTCTCTCCATATTTTTATAATTGCTTTCATAGTTTAAGAAAAGAATGTTTATTAATTTCTTTTTACCGTATGATTGTGGAAAATTTCAAAGAAATTTAAAAACCAAGTCGTAATAAACCTCCATACTTCGACAATTCAACTTAAAAGGCTACTGAACTTTTTTCTGAAGAAATAAATTATTTATTTAAAACAAGATATTTACATATTTAAAATACGTAGGGCAGATTCTTTGGGGGTATTTTAAACATAAGCTCTCTACTTTGGGACTAAGGAACTGACAACTTTTTTTTTTTTTTGAGGCAAGGTCTTTCTTTGTTGTGCAGGCTGGAGTGCAGAGGCACAATCATGGCTCACTGCAGCCTCAACCTCCCAGGCTCAAGTGATCCTCCCCACCATGCTCCCTGAGTAGCTGGGACCACGGGTGCATGTCACCACACTGGGCTAACATTTTAAATTTTTTTGTAAATACTGGGGTATCACCGTGTTGCTAAGGCTGACCTTGAACTCCTGGGCTCACGTGATCCTTCCACTTCGGCCTCCCAAAGTGTTGGTATTACAGGTGTGAGCCACCTCGTCACCCAGCAGATAGATTGTTGAAGTCCCTTTCAATCCACAAAAGTCATTGCTAGAGTAGAGCTTCTAGCCCTTCTAAGGTTGACCTCAAAGTTTAGTTTTTGAATGTCTGAGAAAGTAGGTCACCTGTTCTGCCACCTCTGGTTAGAGGCCTGCCTCGTCTGAGCACATTCCCCTTCCTCACTGCAAACCCCACTCTGCATTAGGATTTGGGCATTTCTGACACCTTGAGGTCACCAAGGGCTCTGATGAGACCTGAACATTCCGATCGAGGACTCTTGGGCATCCCTGACGATTGCCTAATCAATGTTATTACCTCAATTCAAGAAGGAGCATTTCAAACCCACCGGAGCAGGAAGCTGGGGAGATGTTTGACAAACAACTTTCATTAAGAGATTCACTTCTGTTTGTCATGCCCTGATTCAGCTCTGCCAACACTGGTTGTAGATCCTTTGCCACTTCATGGAGTTTTTGAGCCAGTGCCCTGCCCAATCACACAGAGCATCAGGGAACCAGCCCCAAGTGGACATTTAAGAAAGATGACATAGCAATAGAACTATAGCAATTCCCTCATCCAAGAGGTAGGTGACCATGTGACAGCCCCCACAGAAAATGAATACCGCGCCAAACCAAAGCACTGTCACCTCTCCCTCAAAGAGACACAAGCTGCAGCAGGAGTAGTAATCTTTTTTTTTTTTTTGAGAGAGAGTTTCGCTGGAGTGCAATGACCTGATCTCAGCTCACTGCAAACTCCGCCTCCTGGGTTCAAGCCATTCTCATGCTCAGCCTCCCGAGTAGCTGAGATTATAGGTATGCACCCCTACACCTGGCCAATTTTTGTATTTCTAGTAGAGATGGGGTTTCTCCATGTTGGCCAGGCTGGTCTTGAACTCCTGACCTCAGGTGATCCACCCATCTCAGCCTCCCAAAGTGCTGGGATTATAGGGCATGAGCCACCATGCCCGGCCAGGAGTAGTAATCTTTATTTTTATGTGGGTGACCCAAAAATAATTCTCTCTATTCTGGAAGGTACTCAGACACTGATATTTTAAAAAGGATGTTCCCTGTTTCCATGGGGCATTTCAAGCAAAACAATGAAACAGCATTTTAAAATCTAGGAAGTTTTTCTGTTCAGCTCTACTGATGAGCTTTTCTGATGTAACTCCACTCTGTACTAAGAAGGGGCACCGTCAACTCTCCTAAGAAGTACAGGGAGCTGACCCACCATTTATACCTCTCCTGAGGGTGGGTTAAAAATCCCTTCTCCTTCAGTCTAAATAGATTTTCAGCTTCATAGGGTATTGGAAACCTGTCCTATATTTGCATCCCCTTTAAGATCTAGTACAATATTTAGTATACAGTAAGTGTTCAGTTAATGTTTAATGAATGTGAGCTTTAAGTCAACGATGAGAAAAAGAGAAGAAAAAAATGTTTAATGAGTAAATTAATTACATAAATGAGAATCAGAGGCCCAAGTGAAATCCAGCCTCTGGTCTCTTTCTCTTTGGCATTCATTCATTTGTTCATTTGACAAATATTTATGGTGCCAGGCACTGTGCTGACTATTCCTACAGAATACAATGACCCATATGCTGGGCAGACAATGGCTGAGAACAAAGACAGGATCCCGTCCTCTGCTTTGTTCTCAGGTTCTTCCTGAGGATGCCCAGCATTCACATCTGGAGAGAACAAAGAAGCCTCTATAAAAAGTAGCAGGTCCATTCCTCAGGCAATATGAATAGGCTGCAATATCCAAGATTGTAATTGTTCAAAGTAATCTGCTCTAGGATGACCATCCATTAATTTGCCGAGAATTTCCCTGAAGATATTTTCAGCCTCTCCTATTTTTTGATGAAATGAATTCCATGTATTTACTGCCTTAAGGACAAAATGTTACTTGCTTTTATTTGTCCTCATCTTTTTTTTTTTTGAGACAAGGTCTTGCACTGTCACTCAGGCTGGAGGACAGTGGTGCAATCATACCTTACTAGAACCTCAAACTCCTGGGATCAGGCGATCCTCCCACCTCAGCCTCCCGAGTAGCTGGGACTACAGACACACTGCTAGCCTGGGTAATTTTGTTTTATTTCTTTTCCTTCCTTCCTCCCTTCCTTGCTTCATTCCTTCCTTCCTTCCTTCCTTCCTTCTTTCCTTCCTTCCTTCTTTCCTTCCTCCCTCCCTCCCTCCTTCCCTCCCTCCCTCTCTCCTTCCTTTCTTTCTTTCTTTTGGCAGAGATGGGATCTGAGTATGTTGCCCCAGGCTAGTCTTACACTCCTGGCCTCAAATTATCCTCCTGCCTCAGCCTCCCAAAGTGCTGGGATTCCAGGTGTGAGCCACCACACCTGGCCTGTTGTAAAATTTACACTGTTAGGTTCCCTTGGTAAATCCAAGTTGGAGCCTTTTTGGACATGTCTGCATTACTCTGGCCAGAGCTTCAAGGATCCTGGACATTTATCCTTTCCATCTACCTTTCCAAATTCAACAGCCACGATGTCAGAAGTCTTTCCTGACACATCTATTTCCTGCTGTAATCTTGTCCTATATGTTGCTCAATAAATCACAAAACGTTTTAACCCAAAGAGATCTTAGAAAACAACCCATCTCCCCAGCTTTCTTTTCTCTTTATTCTCTCTAAGCCCTATTTTATAAATGAGTAAAATCTACACTTTAGCAAGTGGTAGATCACAGCTGGTTACTGGCACGCAACAACCCACAACTTCCTTTCTTGCTCTTTCGGGTCTCACTTGAGCTGTAAAAACCAAAACCACAGTGGGGCACAGTGGCTGATGCCTGTAATCCCAACACTTTAGGAGGCCGAAGTGGGTGGATCACTCGAGGTCAGAGTTCAAGACCAGCCTGGGCCACATGGTGAAACCCCGTCTCTATTAAAAATACAAAAATTGGCCTGGCTTGACAGTGCGCACATGTAATCTCAGCTACTCAGGAGGATGAGGCATGAGAATCGCTTGAACCTGGGAGGCGAAGGCTGCAGTGAGCTGAGATCATGCAACTGCACTCCAGCCTGGGCATCAGAGTGAGACTCTGACCAAAAAAAAAAAAAAAAACAATCAAACAATCAAACAAAAACCAGAACCACAAAGAATATGCTAGATGCACTGGTCCTCTCCGCAAGAACAGGACAATGATTTTTGTTTCCTTCCCAATCTTTTTGATAAAGCCTATGCATTTTCCTGGTGTTCTGGTGAGAAGAACCTACTGGATTTAAGAAACATTCCCCAGTACTAGGTCTCTCCCCTGCCTCTTATTAAAATAATTTATATTATTATCCTTTTTCTCTCCAAGTACATTATTCCATCAAGTAAATGAAGTATGTATTATGCAGAGCAGAAATAACAACGACAATATTTAATTGATTCCAATCAAGGGTAAGTGATTCCTGTGACACCAACTCATTTGCACTTAGCTTGTATCAGCATTAATGTGAATTTTCATTTCCTCGACTAATAGCATTTGGAAGTGTTCTAGAAGTCTGTCATACAATGAAGGAAAGTCCTGTCTGTGATATCCAAAATGGGCACCCAGAGGATAGAGTGAGCTGGAAATAGAATTAATGGTGATGACTGGGATTCCAAGAAAGTTGAGTAGGTAGCCCAAACCTCTAGTTGCCAACTCCTGCCAATGAAAACGAGAGCTTTTGAGTCTTACCTTTTCTCTCACGGGGCTTTCTGAAGTCTTCCACTGAGGTATTATTAGTTCATGCTGCAGGTGGGGGCTGCCTTCCCCACTTCCTCCTGCCAATACAAGATGCAAAACCATTGGAATCCCAGACCTCTATACCCCAGCTAAGCCACACATGCACTTTCTGTGAGCTGTCCCTGCTCTGGGTCCTTAGAAGACTTGCTGGATTCCGGGCTCTTGGCACTTACTAGGAACCAGGCACTATAGGTGTTGGCGATATTGTGGTAAACAGGGTAAATAAGGTCTCTGTGTGAGTTTGCCTTCTAGAGCTGGGAGATAGACGATAAACAAATGTTCTCAGAAGGTGCTAAGTGCCCTGAAGAAAATAAGTTGGGGTCATGGGATAAAGAGACACCTAGCAGGGGGTGCCTATTTCAGACAGGATGATCAGCAAAGTTCTGAGGGGTCAGAAGAAGGCAGCCATGCAAAAACTTGAGGGAAGAGTGCCCCAGGTAGAGGAAACAGAAAACGCAATGGCTGAGCAGAAGTGAACTTGTCCTGCTGAAGGAACAAGCAGAAGGTAGGGGTAGCTAGTAAATGAAAGAGGAAGTTGGTAAGAGATGTGGTCGGCGAGACAGCCATGGGTCTGATAATGCAGAGAGTACGGAGAGTGTCTGGATTTTCTTATAAATAGACTTGGAAGGCACTGGGTGTTTTAAATACAGAGTAATATGATCTGTGTTAAGTTTAAAAAAGACCACTCTGCCTGCACGGTGGAGAATGGGGGTGGAATGAGGGAGAGCAGAAGCAAGAAGGCCAGGCTAGAGATATGCAGGAGCCCTGGTGAGAGATGATGGTGGGTCAGATTAGAATGACATCAGTGGAGAGGAATGAAGCAGTGTGATTCTGGGCATATTCTGGAGGTCAAGCCCATGAGTATTGCTCTCGTGGAGCTGTAGTTTTCTTGCCTGTAAAATGGAGACATTGATCCTACCTGCCCATCTCACAGCTTTATTGTGGAGAGTCAATATGAAATTGCCCCGTAAGCTGCAGAGCATCACTGCATAACTGGAGCTTCTTAACAGCAAGTTTGCATTTGTATTCCACTTTCTACTTCCCAAATCATTCTCACCACCCAGTTCTCCTTCATATTCAGGGCAACCCTGGGAAGTAGGAAGTAGGAGTCCTGTTTTGCAAGAAAGAGAATTTAAACTACAGGAGAGACTTGTTCAGGGCACTGAGAACTCAAACACTGGCTGCAGACCATCTTAATAAAATGGTAATTTCCCAACACCTAAACAGTCTGGTCTCTGTAGTACTCCTGGGAACGGGGCTGAGGACTGCAAAATCTACTCTGTCTACACTAACCACAGCAATCATACAGAATATGAGTAATACAAAGATGGCCATAGTTGTTCTGTTAGAATGGTGATTATGAGTAATGATTAACATTCCCTCCAGATTATCAATATAATGCACTTGCAATCAACATGGGTTTTAAAAATAATCCCACTGGACCAACACCAATTCATCAGATAGGTAAAAATTAGAAGCAATGCATTCATATATTTATCAAATATTTTCTGAGTACTTAACTATGTGCCAAGTATATGCTATGAATATGTGCTTAATATTCATGGAGGAACAAGACAAGCATACAGCCAGGAACGGTGGCTCATACCTGTAATCTCAGCACTTTGGGAGGTCCGAGGTGGGCAGATCACCTGAGGTCAGAAGTTCAAGAACAGCCTGGCCAACATGGTGAAGCCCCGTCTCCACTAAAAATACAAAAATTCACTGGGCGTGGTGGTGCATGCCTGTAATCCCAGCTACTCAGGAGGTTGAGGCACAAGAATTGCTTGAATCTGGGCAGCTGAGATTTCGCCATTGCACTCCAGCCTGAGCAACAGAGCAAGACTCCATCTCAGAAAAAAAAAAAAAAAAAAAGACAAGCATAGTCCTTGCTCTGGTGGCTCTGATGAGTCTAGATTCTTTTAAACAAAAAGGAATTCTATAATATTTAATAGAACATTTAAAGGGGCCGGGCGCGGTGGCTCATGCCTATAATCCCAGCACTTTGGGAGGCCAAGACAGGTAGATCACGAGGTCAAGAGATCGAGACCATCCTGGTTAACGTGGTGAAACCCTGTCTCTACTAAAAACACAAAAACTAGCTGGGCATGGTGGCGCACGCCTGTAGTCCCAGTTACTCGGAAGGCTGAGGCAGGAGAATTGCTTGAACCCAGGAGACGGAAGTTGCGGTGAGCCGAGATCGCGCCATTGCACTCCAGCCTGGGTAACAAGAGTGAAACTCCGTCTCAAAAAAAAAAGAACATTTAAAAGAATTAATTGTTATATTTATGGTTGTAAAAAAATAATGAAAGCAATCTAAAATCTCACCAAAAGAGGAACACAGTACATGTTAAGAAAAAATCTCCAAAACTTGGAAATAAGGCAAAGAGCAAGCAAGATGTCTTCTCAATGTCATATTGGAATATTGTTTAACAAACCCGCCCATGGATTATTACATTAACTTTTCCTTTTTTTTTTGAAACGGAGTCTTGATGTGTCGCCCAAGCTGGAGTGCAGTGGCACAATCTCAGCTTATTGCAACCTCCACCTCCCAGGTTCAAGCCATTCTCCTGTCTCTGCCTCCCAAGTTGCTGGAATTACAGGCAGGAGCCACCATGCCAGGCTAATTTTTGTATTTTTAGTAGAGACAAGGTTTCATGATGTTGGCCAGGCTGATCTGGAACACCTGAGATTACAAGTGTGTGCCACTGCGACCCCCCAGATTATCGCATTATCTATGGGAATGTACCATTGACTTTTTATTTATCATTGATTAAAGACTATACTCTGTGAAGTTATATTAGATAGATAGATAGATTGATTGATTGATTGATTGATTTCTGTCTGAGAGGTGAGTGATTTCAGCACAGTAGAAAGATAACCTGGCTGAGTGCAGTGGCTCACACCTGTAATCCTAGCACTTTGGGAGGCCGAGGTGTAGCACTTTGGGAGGCCGAGGTGGGTGAATTACCTGAGATCAGGAGTTTGACACCAGCTTGGCCAACAGGGTAAAACCCTGTCTCTACTAAAAATACAAAAACTAGTCAGGTGTGATGGCACATGCTTGTAATCCCAGCTACTCAGGAGGCTGAGGCAGGAGAATCACTTGAACGCAGAAGGCAGAGATTGCAGTGAGTCGAGATCACACCACTGCACTCCACCCTGGGCAACAGAGAGAGGCTCTGTCTCAAAGAAAAAAAAAAAGAAAGAAAAGAGAAAAGAGAAGAAAAAGCAAAAAAAGGAAAGGAAAAGAAAAAGAAGAAAAGAAATGATAACCAAGAATTATGGTTTTGCTTCATGGGCATCCACCATTTCTGCATCTGTCCGGGGCCACATGATTTCAACATTCTTTCTCCAATGCCTGTATCACCCCTTTCTAATGCTCCTTGAATCAGCTTTACTATTCTGTTGGCTACCTCATTAACAAGTTAAATAAATCTTGGCCACATTGGTATAAGTTGTGTGTCTAACTTTTGAAAACTTTGTATAGCGTCATTAAAATCATGTTTTTTGGAGAATTTAATGATGTGGAAAATGCTCATGGTGTGAAGTGAAAAATGCAAGACACAAAACTGTACTTATGGTATGGTTCCAGTTTTATCAATATATATTTATATCCATAGCAACACACAAACAATGGGGAGGGAAAAAATATCAATAGCAACTGTGGATTTGGGAGTTGCAGATCATTTTATTTCTATTACACTTTTCGTTATTTCCCAGATATTCTACAGCGAGAGTTCTTCAAGGACTCAACTCAGAGAAGGCGCCTGTGCTAGGAGCAGTAACTTGGTTTCCTTGTCTTTCTTCATGCTTTTCTCCTGCGCTAAGCACTGGCCCAGGCCTGGTTCTACCCTAGAACCTCCTGTGCCTCAGTTTCCCCTTCAGTACAATAGCTCAAAGGGCGATTCCTGTTTGCCCGCGCCGGATGACCGCTGGACCTCGGCCCCTGGAAGTTCTGAACTGTAGGACGAGCTCAGTCTCCGGGCTTGAGACGGCTTGAGGGGTCCAGCCAGCCCTCCCCCACCCCGCCAGGGCTCGCTTTATTTGAAAATGCTGACTGTTGGTCCCGCAGGCAGCAGTCTGGAGTCAGCCCAGCCGCTCTGCAGCGGTGGAGCCAGGGCTAAGCCTTCTCCGGTCACAATGACAGAACCCGGTCACAATGACAGAACCCGGGCACTGCACCCACCCCCCCGGGGACTATTCCTTCCGAGAAATCTGCAAAGAGCCCCCGAGGGATGGGGTCGGGGAGGGGTTGCTGTCTGGGAAACTAGTTATGAGAAACATGGACATCACCAGGCATCTAAGCTGGAAACATTGAGTCCGACCCCTTCGCTTCACAGAAGGGAAACTGACGACCAAAGAAGGCGGCCGTCGGGTTGGCGTGGAAAGAGAGCCCTGGCTTCCAGTGCCAGCGCGGACCTCAACCCGTGGCGTGGCCATGGGCAAGTCCTTTCCCTTTTGTGGGCCTCGGTTTCCTCATCTGTGAAATGGGCGTGTTCGACTTGGCCTTCGGTAGGGCTCCTGCCAGCTCATGGCTCCGAAGTGTACTGCTGGAGATACCCGGCAAGCCACCCCCCAGCCAAGGCTACCACAGCCTCCCGCGGGGATTTTATGTCCTACCCCACCAATGTGGCAGGCACTGAGCCTAGTCCCAGGAAGCCGCTCCCAGGCCACAGGGGCAGGACGCTCGGGATGCTCTCGGCACTCGGGCGCAGGCGAGTGCAGCGGGCGGGAGAGAGAGAGAGACAGAGAGAGAGGCGGAGCGGACACCAGGGACCGTGAGAAAACGGAGGAGGATAAGCCCCGAGAACAGCGGAAAGAGAAGCCAAAAGCAGAAAAACAGAGGAAGCAGAAGGCGAAAGGGGAAGGCACGCCAGTGAGCGGACCGGCCGTTTTCTGGCAGTGCCGGGTTGCCCCGACCTCCGCCACCTCCCAGGGCGCACAACGTGGGAACAAAGCCCCGGCTCCCAGGCTGGGCGCAGCGGGAGCGTAGGCCCCGCGGAGTTTCAGGAGGCGCAGGGGTCGCAGTCCCGGCGCTCGGGACCCGCAGGTCGACTCCCAGGTCTCCCGGCCACCCAGATCTCCGGGCCACGCAGCCTCCATCCCCCCGCGCCTGGCCACTTACTTGTCCATCCAGGCTCCTGCGCCGCCCGCGGCCGGAGGAGCTGCAGGGCGAGCGCCAGCAAGCAGAGCCGGGCGGCGCCTGCGCCCCCTGGCATGGTGGCGGCGGCCCCTCGCGCTCGGTGCTCACACACCCTCGGCCATGCCTGCCCCCGGCCCGGCGGCGGCGGCGGCTCGTCTGGAACCCCCGGCTCGCCCCGCGCCTACCCACCCGGCTCTCCCAGCCCTCGGCAGAGACGCTCCGCCCCCCCAGCCCCGCGGGGCTCCGCTAGGGGATGGAGGAGGGGAGGCTCCCGCCCGGAGGGGGCTGGAGGGAGGGGCCGGGGAGGAGCTGGCGGGACTCGGGGGAGCGGGCTGGCTCAGGTGAGGGAGACCGCAGGGAAGGAAGAATTCGAGCCTAAGGAGGAGGGATTCGTGGTGGACGTTGCCTGGGGAGGGTCAAGGACTTGGGCTTCTAGGAGTTAAACTGGACCCCTCTCCGCACAGCGGCTGGTTTACTGTCCCACACTGTGCCAGACGCCTTGGGTGACACCCAGAGGCGACTCAGCCAGCGCCGTCCCCCAGAGGCCGCCACTCTCTTTGGCAGGCTCAGAAAGAGTTAACCCAACCATCAGGCACAAAGAGCTAAGCGCTATATGGACTTATTTTTTTTTTTTTTTGGTAGGACACAAATCGAGGGGCCGTTCCTTCTGCCTGGGAGGAGGGAGTGGTGAAGACCAGAGGAATCCCAGAGGAGAAGACTTCTGAGATGGGGAGGGGAGAAATGGAACATCAGGCGGAGGAAACAGCCCAGACATCGCACTGGGACTTGAAAGCTCTTAGGCTGTATGAGGGGAGAAAACCAGAACTGGGGTTGGTTAGGGTTTTGGAGGGAAACACGGGGAGACGAGACAAAAAATAATAACTACTGTTACTTATTGAGGACTTTCTATGTGCTAGAATAAGAAAATCATAATAGCTAAGGCTAATAAAGTGCTAAGTGTCAGACACTGTCTTCAGCACTTTACACATAGTAACTTATTTAATCAATCGAAGAAAAGAACTTATTATTAACCAGGGACTCTGCATACATTATCTCTTTTAATTAGCCCAATGGGGTAGGTACTAGTACTATCCCTGTTTTAGAGATGAGGAAATCAACCTTAAGAGGCTAAACCACTTGCCTCTTATACAGCTAATGTCAGCACCTGGATTCAAACCCACGTCTGTATAACTCCAGAGCCTGATGCAACACACCTTATTTTCCAGGTGGATAAACTGATAATCAGAGAGAAATGACTTGCCTAAGATCCCTTGGCAAGTTTCAGCAAAGCCTAGTTCTAGAAACCCAGCCTCAAACCTTATCCATCTGTTTCTTTTTCTGAGTCTCTTTAGTCAAACCCACGTTGACTGGAGAAGGTGCTGTGTGTTGGAGAGGGCGAGGCACTCCTGGAGATGATGGGTCTATCAAACCCTACTCATGGGCACCCATGAAGGAAATAAAACCTGTGGTTCTAGACATTAATGTGCTTCAGGATTCCATTAGTCTCCTCCAGCTGCCACAAAATTCGTACCCTTCTGTGAACCCAAAATATCTGAGATAGGACTCAGTTAATTTAGAAGGTTGATTTTGCCAAGGTTAAGGATGTGCTCATGACACAGCCTCGGGAGGTCCCAACATGTGCCCAGGGTAGTCGGGGTACAGCTTGCTTTTATAAACTTTGGGGAGACATGAGACATCAATCAATATGTATAGGATGTTCGTTCGCTCGGTGTTTCCAGGTTATAAGTAGATAAGAAACAAAAAATGTTGCTTTCTTTTGAGTCCTTGATCAACCTTCCACTGAATACACAATTTAGTCTAGCTCAGTGAAGCTGCATTTTTACATAAACAATAGGGCAGAAGAAGCAATCGGATATGCATTTGTCTCCAGTGAGCCTCAGAGGGGTGACTTTAAGTTCTGTCTGCCCTTTGTCCACAAGGAATTTCCTTGTGTGAAAATTATGAGGAAGGTATGCAGCTGTTTATCTTTGTAGCTATCACATTTAAGAATAAAATGGTGGCCAGGCACGGTGGCTTATGCCTGTAATTCCAGTTCTTTGGGAGGCAGAGGCGGGCGGATCACCTGAGGTTAGGAGTTCCAGGCCAGCCTGACCAATGTGGCGAAACCCTGTCTCTACTAAAAATACAAAAGAAAATTAGCCAGACGTGGTGGCACACCTGTAATCCCAGCTACTGCGGAGGCTGAGGCAGGAGATTCGCTTGAACCTGGGAAGTGCAGATTGCAGTGAGCCGAGATTACACTACTGCACTCCAGCCTGGGCAACACAGTGAGACTCCATTTCAAAAAAGAAAAGAAAAGAATAAAATGGGAGGCAGGTTTGCCTGACATTGTTCCCAGCTTGACTTTTCCCTTGGCTTAGTGATTTGGGGGTCCTAAGGTTTATTTTCCTTTCACATCTCTCACATGCAGAATGCATTCACCCCATCCCAGTAGCCCAAACATCTTCACTCATTCTAGAATCAATTCTAACTCTGAAGTGTCATCTAAATTTCATCTATATTAGATATGGCTAAGACTTGAAGTTTGATTCATCCTCAGGCAAAATTCTTCTCAGCTTTCAAATACAATGTGGTAGGACAGGCATAGGACAGAATTACCAGTTCCAAAAGGGAGACACTGAAAAGAAGAACAAGGTGGCATGTCCCCAAAAGTGCAAAACCCAGCAAGGCAAATTCTATCCAGATCTGAAAGCTCTACAATAATCCTCTTGGTTGGATCCTCTGCCCTCCAGGCCCACTGGCTCAGCAATGCCGCTCTCCAGCCCTCGGCAGTGGCCAGCACCACAGCTCTTTGCCACAGCTCCCCACTCCAAGGCACTGGGCAGGGGCAGCCTGGCCTGCTTAAGGAGACCACCCTTTCACTCCCTGCCTCCCCAATGGCCCGCTGTGGTGGGAGTGGCAACCCTGATGATCTGTGAATCACTTAAAGGATGAAGCAAGCTGTATTGTCTGGTCCTACAGAACAGAATTCTGAAAGCCTGCCTTTGTTCATCCTATCTTTATTTTTTTTTTTGGTCTAAACTGGTAATGTCTTTGCTGATTTAAAAAAAAAAATCTCTCTTCCTGGCTCATGGGTTATTGTCCAGCCATACCCTTAGTGTCCTCTCCAGAAAACCTTTTTTATTTTTTCCAATATAAATAGGCTGATAATTTGCCAAATCTTCAAGTTCTGTTTCCTTTTTGCTTAGTGAATCCTTCCATTTATCTCTATCCACTCACATTTTATATAAGTACCAAGAAGCCAGGCCACATCTTTAACACTCTGAAAATCTCTCCAGCTGAATATCTAAGTTCATCACTTGCATTTTCTACTTTCCACAAAACACTAGAACACAGTTGGTGGTGGAGAAAACACAAACTCAAAGTGCTTTTTCCTCTTCTCTCACTCAACACAGCAATCAACGGAGAAGACTTCTGTGATCAAAGATGCAGGGGCTTACCCTACACACCAAGCAGCAACCGATTCAGACACTGTCCACCTATAGATAGCATCAGATTCCACAGGTTGAGGGCTCAGTTTCCAAGACTGGGCCCCCTTCAGATGCCAGACACAAGTCTAGGCCCTCAGAACTTCTGACTGACTGGCTTCCAGTTGGGGTTCCCAGGATGCCTCTTTGGGTTCAATTAATTTACTAGAGCAGCTCACAGAACGCAGGGAAGCACTTGCTTGCATAAACCCAGCGAGGCCTGTCTCTCCAGATTCTTCTCGGCCTCTCTGTGCAACATTTCTTCCTCAAGAGTGTGGGGTGGCTTGCTTCAGCACTACGTCTATTACATTGGAAAGATACAGATTAGCCTGGCCCCTGTGCAAGGATGACATGAAAATTCATAAAGCAGCCCATATTTTCAAAGTAAAAAATAAACAGTATAGGGCAGGACCCTCTCTACAATGAGAGTCGATGACCCGCAGTGAGATTACAGTCCTGCTGTAGGCAGGTGAAAGGAGGACAGAAGTTCAGATTCTGTTTCCTGACACCTGTTTCTGAAGCCTAAAGTACCCTAACATCGTAACAAAGGACTATAACAAGGGCTATGGGAGTTATGAGCCAGGAACCATGGAGAAAACCGATATACATAGATATCATAATATCACAGCAATTCAGCTGAGTCCTTTGCCATGTTGTAACTGGTATTGGAGTTCAGAGACCAATACCCCAAAATATGGTACTTTGACACATTAAACTGGAGAAGTCTCATGTTCTCTCTGACCTTTTCTTGCATGCTCCTGTCTCTCAATCCTTTGTCTCTCCCAAAGCACAGGATGAAATTGTTCTCTGAATTTCCCTTATCTGCCTAAAGTCTGGACCTGCCAAAGAAGACAACTGTCTCGGGTGCCTTCTCTGTTTTCATGAACTGCATTCATGTTGCGGGGAAGACTGAAGTTTGTCAACATACCTCGACAGACTTTTGTGGAAAACCATTGTCAGCTCTGTGGGCCAAAAGACTCTGTCCGAGGCCATTATATGTTCTTCAAGCCCACTGAATTCCCCTAAAAATCATTTACTATCGCCCCAAAATCATCCGCACTTCCCTATCTCCCCTTCCCCTAAGAAGTGGGGTATATAAACATCTGTACCCCAGTGGGATATTGGGCAATCACTCTGTGATTCTCTCCCATGCATGCTCATAAATTTGTATGCATTGTCTCCGGTTAATTTGCCTTTTGTGCGTTGATTTTTCAGTGAAACTTCAGAAGGCAAAGGGGAAGTCTTCCCTTAGCCCCTACACAAAAATAACCTTTCCTCCAGTTTCCAATAACATGTTCCTCATTTCCATCGTAGACCTCACTGGAATAGCTCTTAATATTCATATTTCTACTAATATTCTGTTCCTGATGATATATTCGTTCTCTAAGATGACAGAAGTTTTCTCTTCAGCTCTCTTTCTGTCTTCCTGAGCCCTGACCAGAATCTATTATTATAATTATAGGTAAATGTGGTCCATAATTATGGCTACAGTCCTAGAGCCATGAGACTAAAATTCTAGTCCCAGTTTTCTCTTCAACCAGCTCTGTGACTTTCTGGGACTGAGTTTCTGCTGAAAACTTGGCAACAGGAATGGCTGCCCCCAGTACATCTCACCCAGGAGCTGTGAGGAGCAATTGACATGATGGCAGTGAAATTTCTGTGACAAGTAGAAAATGCTGAAGTGCCATTCCTACCTGACTCTGTAGACAGGTCTCCTTGCAAAAGACATACAAACTCCATACTCGAAGTTCACTTCCATTTGCTGGCACTCAGCTGATCAATATTTAATCAGCATATAGCCCTGAAAATTGGGAGGTCGCTCACAAGACAAAAAGTCCAGTGGTTAATGCATGACCAAGGAGTCACAAAGGTCCCAGTGTAGTCTCATCCCACTCCCCCTCCCCACTTATCCACAGCAACGAGTATGTATACAACTTTGACTCTGTAGAAGCCTCTCCATGTATTTGTAAATAACGTATTTGTTATTTATAAAGAATATTAAGTCTCTACATAATCTTTGAAATATTCATAACATTTAACCTAGCAATTACATTTCTGGGAAACTACCCTTAAAAAATAATCTGCAATGCACACACAGATTTATGGACTAGAATGTTCATAATTGTGTTATTTAATAGTGAAAATATTAGAAACAACCTAAATATTCAACTGTGGAAGAAAAGTTCATAAATTATAGAATATCCATATGATGGATTATTATGCACCCACTTAAAATGATGGGAGTTTCTGCTTTGATGGTAGGTGAAAAAAGCAGGGTCCAAAATTACATTTAAGTGTGATCTCAGCTATGTGAATGAAAGACATTTTTAAAAAGACTAGAAGGAACTGTGCCAAAATGTTAGCAGTGGTTACCTCTGCATGGTTAAACTATGAATGACAGGGTTTTTTTTTTTGTTAGTTTGTTTTTGTTTTCCTGTTTGTGCTTTCTCTCTCTTTCATTCTGTACAATAATGAAGTACAGTCATTGTTGCTTAACAACACGGATACATTCTGAGACACATCATTAGGTGATTTCACCATGGGAATATCACAGAATGCACTTACATAAACCTAGATGGCTTAGCCTGCTATACAACTAGGCCATATGGTATAGCCTCTTCCTCCTGGGCTACAAACCTGTACAGCATGCTACTGTACTGAATACTATAGGCAACTGTAACACAAATGTAAGTGTTTATGTATCTAAACATAGAAAGTATAGTGCACTATGACTGGCTATGATGCCACTAGGGGACAGGAATGTTTCAGCCTTATGGGATCATGCATCTGGCCCCTCGCTGACTGAAATGTCATTATATGGTGCATAACTGTGTTACCTTAGTCATGGGAGGGTGGGTAAATGTTCAATACAGAAAGAAACACAAAAGGAGAAAGAATTGATCCTCGTATCTAAAACAGAAGAGCCTTACAAACTTGACCTCTGTATGTATGGTTGGCTTTCTCCTCTGATGATGGAAAAACTGAGCCGAAGTTACAGCAACCAGTTCCAGAATGTGGGATTTGAAGTGACACAGGTCACTGTTTAGCTAAAGTATACCATTAATATTACTCTTAGGAAGTGGCCATCCTGCCAGGGGTTAATTCCCTTTTCTGTCCTTTCTTAGCGGTGTGACCTTGGATCACTAAATTTTTCTGTGACATTGTTGTCTTATCTATAAAGGACAATAATAATGACAGCTTTTGTGGGGCTTAAATGGGTACTTAGAATAGCATCCATTACGTAGTAGGCAGTCAATAAATGCTAGCCAGTATGCCCCTCCTTCTACTGCTAATAAGTCCTGAGAGGTGGGGTATTACTTATAATGCCTGGCTTATGCTTTTAGTTGTATAATATGTGAGGGGTCTAATTATATACTTGTTCTCTAATTATTATCAATGATAATGGTCATGTTATCATCCCCTCACCCTAAATTGTGAGCCCCTTGTGAATAGGAGCTGGACCTTGTCCTTCACTCAGCCCTCCAGCATTTGGGAGGCACAATCAATGTTTAATCAAACAAATTAGAAGTTAAACAATTAATAATAATTATCTCATCCTGGCTCAGCACAAATTTCCAAGCCACTCATTGAAGAATCATCTTTGCTGAGTCCCTGCTATGGGAATAATATTGGATCTGTGATAACTCTGCTTTTGTGAAGCATTTTCTCAGCAACTCACTCTTTTCTTTAAAGGTCTGTTTATTTAGGTATACTTTACATATATTAACATTCTCCATGTGTTACATCTATGGTTCTATGAGTTTTGACAAGCACACACAGTGGAATAACCACTTGCACAGTCAAGATCACACCCAAAAACTTTCCTCCTATCTCTGCATTCAACCAGTCCCCTCACCCCTGGAATCACTGGTCTATTTTATGTCCTTCTCAAGTTGCCTTTTGCAGAATACCATGTAAATAGACCCACACAGGATGTAGACTCTGGATATATATTTTTTTCCTTAGCATAGTGCATTTAAGATTCATCTAGGTCATCACATTATCAGTATTTCCTTCCTTTTTATTGTTCAGTCGTACTCCATTGTGTAGACGTATCATTGTCAGTTCAGTCACCAGTGAAGGATATTTGGGTGTTTCAGTTTTTGATGATTATGAATAAAGTCACTACATATATAGGCAGGTTTTATGTGAACGCAGTCTTTCATTTCTGTAGGGTGAAAGCAATTCTACTGGGTATTGTGGTTAAGCATATGTTTAACTTTACAAGAAACTGCAAAAAATATTTTCCAAAGTGGCTGTGCAATTTTGCCTTCCCACAAGCAAGGTATGAAAGTTCCAGTTGCTCTGCATCCTTGTCAGCACTTGGTATTGCCAGTTCTTTTGATTTTAGCCATGGTAATGGATGTACAGCTGCTTAGCAATTACCTTGCTCTTCAAATACTCCATGAGGTAGCCAGGTAGGATGATTGTATCCATTTTGATGAAAGGAATTAAAGCCTAAGTAGAGTCTTTTAGTTAGGTTTTATGGATATGTTAAAGACTTCAGTCTTATTTCTGTGTTTTTTTTTTTAAATAATTCACAAGAGAAACCCTGGAAAACTCACAACATTCTTGAAATCACTCATTCAGCAAGTGTTCCTTGAGTACCTGTTATGTGCCCGGCATTTGCTAGAATCTACAGAGTCTGAGATAAGGTTTCCACTATAACGATTACAGTAGGGGGAGGGGAGTAAAGGAAAGGAGCTGGTAGGAACTGGCAAGAAACTTAAGCGACCCACTACAGAGGGGGATCAAGTTTCTTCACATGTGACTTGTGTCCTTTGATTTGTCAACATTGGGTACTGTCCTCAATGTGGTGCATAGTAACAACTATCATGTATGGAGCACCCTGATTGGTTCCAAGCACAGCGCCTACATCATGTCATTTAATGCCTGTAACAGTCCCATGAAGAGATATTAGGTTAAACCATGAATAAGTGTTGATTTTGTAGGTCAGAAACAGTTAAATATAGATAACGTCATATGGTTCAACTGAATAATGATAGTTACTATTGATTGGACAAGGCTTACAATGTGTCTAGTGCATTATCTCATTTTATCCTCTCTGGTAGGTACTATTGATACTCCTACTTTTCAGGTGAGGCAACTGAGGCTGGAGGCAATGGTACAACAGGAACTAGAAAATATTCATAAGGTAGCCAGGTTGGAGCCAAAGCCTGGATTCAAACCGCAATGTAACATTAAAGTCACTGTTTCTAACCACAGTGCTACTCTTGATATTACCATAGATGAGCAAACTGAGGCCTGAAGAGGTGATATTGCCGGAGGGGGCCATGGACTGTCATGCCCAAGGTTCATGGGTCATCCCAGCTTCAAACTCCTGGCCAAATAAGTTTTTCTCATTGTCTCCTTGTCACTCT